TGTGCGGACCACCGTAGCTACGAGAGTCAACCTTGGAAAGAAATGTATTTATGTTTTGCATCATTTTTGTTTTTTGATCCCCCGCCCGTTAATGGAATATTGCTCTTCCCTCTGCACGTTTGGGTCCGTTTACGTTTGTTTTGATTCATGTTTGTTTTTCTTGGTCCCCTGAAATATATTTATTTTTTGATTGTTGTTTTTTGTTGATCCCTCGCCCGTTTTCTGTCCTGGGTTGGAACAGTCCAAGAAAGAGCGTTCTCCGAAATGCCCAGAGGTTCAGTGAGATTGGCAAGGTTCACTCGAAATAGTTGGATCCCAAACTGGTGTGAGTCGCAGGAAGATCCCAAGCATGTATATAGCTAAGTGTTCTTCTCTATGTGCATTCACCCTACCACACTCGCCCGGAGGGCAAGGAGTGTGTAGTGGGTGGAGTGTTGCGCAAGCTCCGGTGCCCCAATCCATGGTTTTTGAACACTTCCCATGAGGCAGTCAGGTACATTTGTGGGAGTGAATGTGAGCATGCGGAGGTTTCGGCCAAGGCCACATCTCCAAGAGTTTTTGTACATGGTTCTTCCACCCTTTCCACCCCAAATAGGGGGTGTTGCCGAAGAAGACGCGCCAGCTCAGTTGCAGGCTACGCCCTACCATCTCCACCACCATCACCGCCCGGACGATCCCTTAGAATCGCGGGCTGCGGACAATCTGCAAGGATTGTTTCGCAGATGTGCACAAGCCTGGTAGCATATCAATTTCTTTAAAGTTCAGTCATGTTCGGTCATATCATTTTTGCAAATTGCAATCTGAGGGCAAATCTGCCATTTTGCTGCCCGGTCGTTTGGAGAACAAGAATATTCGGCTCATGCTCACTCATTTGATTTGCTTCCCAACAGAGTGTGATTCACTAAAGGTTCAGCAATTCCCAGCAACCAAGACATGGAATCCTTTTTTGGGATTGTCCAAAAGACACCCCGATCAACCCCAAAGAAGGGCCACATTGCCATTGTGTTAATTGAAAGGCGATTCCCACCGTTTAGACCTGTTTGTGGCACACCTGAGCACCGAGATCAGTGGCATTCGGCTGTTTTCTGTAGTGAGTTGCATTATTTGAGGCCAAAGGCAAAGACTGCAAGTGTTCCAATCTTCAAACTCACTGCACTCAGTGGTAGTTGCTACCGATGCCCGATTTCCTTCGATTTCGCAAGTGGCTGGATCTGAGGCCACTGAGCCCGTTGATGCCAAGGCGTACAACATTGGACCGTTGGCCAGTGATGGTTTCGCACGCGGTGTGGTATAGGCCACCACAGAGAATCACACCGACAGATGTTGTAGGACATGGTGTCGGTTGGATTGCTGGTCTGATTCGAGTGAAAGTACCGGGAAGCTTGCAGTTCAAGCCGTTCAAGCCATTGGCAGACATGGATATGTCCGACCCAGCCACACATGCACTAGTCACTAGATGATATGATTCATGCTGCATCACATCCAGCCTCCAAACAACCCAACCGGTGGGTCAGAGGGTTCATGAACGAAAGGTGCAAGAGACCCCTATCCCTTCTTGGAAGCGGCGAAAGCCGAAGCATCTAAGTCTAAGTGGTTTAGAAGATCTCTTTCGGAGTGGCCTTGTCTAGGAGTGCCGTGAGACCTGCTTCGGCACCAACAATGAGGCTGGTACAGCTTGTTCTGGGCCGAATCCGCGGTGAGGTGACGATCCGATCCAAAGAACGACCCGACCCAGGACATCGTTTCGCACGCACCCGACGAAACGCCCAACGACCCGCTTCTGTCAGAGGTCGGAAGTCTGTGGCTGCACCGAAATCTACAGGGAACGGTGGTTGTGGTATGTTGTGATGTTCTCCGAGGCGTTTTTGGACAGTAACCAAGCTCAAGGACCGGGCTGGGGACCTTTTGTTGGTCGTTGAATCCCATTTTTGCAAAACGCAGGTTAGGTGGTCTCTGTGAAAGCCATAAACTCCCATCAAGACATGGTGGTGCCATGTATGATCATGTACTGTATGTCGCTGATCATTATGAATTAAGTATAATTAGCAATATATACATATATCTAGTATACAAACCTATCTCCCGATGCGCGTATGGCATATGTACATCTGGTATATCCCTAAAAATTCTAATGAATCCATCATTTCTCCAGCTGTTGGACAACAGCAATCCAGAGGCCTGGTCTCCGTGCGCCCCTCACGGTGCTGGCGCGGCCGGTGCGATCCACCTCAGCCGTCCGGGGGCCGGCGACGGTCGCACGGCCGATGCCGCTCAGCACGGTGCGGCCGATCAATGTGACTCGGTGGAATTTTGAGGATATTGTTTCTACTAGCTTCTTGTTCCTAGTAGTCAGGCCCTTGTTCCTAGTAGCGATGCCCTTTGCTCCTAGTAGCGTCCTTTGCTTTCTGATGTTGGTATCGCGTGTGGCGAAGAAGAGGCTTTTGGAAGACTGGGAGGACCGTCCTGTAGAAGCATAGAACTAAACCCACGATGCAAACGGATCCTAGCAAATGGTTGGTAATTAATGAATTTGAGCCGCTTACATGCGCATGGAAGTGAGCTGTGGCTCGCATCTTAATGTCCTCAAGGTTAATTTTGAACAAAGGGGAAAGAGTGACCCGGCATATAGACAGACTCGGGAAGGGACAGATGGAGCCACTGGAGAGTGGAGTCTTGCTTTTCTGAAGACACGGGCTCCAAGCAGAGTTTGGATTGTACTGTAGATTATAGATATCTATAGAATTGTATACTGATACTGTAGAGCGTAGAGCAATATATATATATATATTATTTCTATATAATAAGTAATCTTAGGGCAAACGCATTGGGTCCTTGACAATGGCTTTTTGCATTGTTCCTGTGGATACCGCCCGAAGCCCTGAAGAAACCTAAGTGAAAAAATGGTCTGGGTAAACCGGGTAAACATGTATATAAGGCGGTCTGACTATCCCCGAAAGCTTCGAGTCATCCAACGAAAGCTCCAAGTGCTCAATAGAAGGCTCCAAGTTCACAAAGACGAACGATCGACGAGCACTTGTCTGCAGAAGGCAAAACGGATGCAACAGCTGGTCATCTTGTTCTAGTAGTAACGAATAATATTCAGAACATAGTAGGTACACAGAGCTGATCAGGCTCTGCTTCCAGCACAAGTGGATAGCTTCGTTGGGTGCAGTCTCCACTGTGTTCTGCACCCCCTGCTTGTATGTAATTTCCAAAGACCAGAGCCCCTCTGATTCTAAGGGTTACACACACTTAGATCCATGCTCGCAAGAGCTAAATCAGTTTGGAAATTCCGGAAGCTAGTTACTGATTACATTAGACCTTGACTTGCACACAACAGCAAGAATGCTGGGTCAGAGAACAGAATTGTTTGAACATCACGCGTTAGCACTTTAGGACTTTAGGAAAAGAGTGATCAGCTTTCACTTCCCGTGCGTCAGGTAGCTTCGTTGGACATGGTCCCTGAGCGCGTGCCATGTCCTCCTGCGGAGCTGTACATAGTTGGAATTAAAGGTGCCTACGAGGTGAAAACAAACAATGTGGCTGTTATCCCTTGGACCTTATCCATAGCGCACGACAGGGAAGTAGACTACCGGGCATTTTGCCGGTCCCGTCATGGAACTCTTATTACAGCTCCCACCCTGGCTACACCATGGACCATGTATGATTACAATACAAATAGTGTCATTGTAAGTAGAAGGAGTCAGACATTGAGCATTCCAGCGCCAAAAGAGGGACTTAGGATCCACAAGAACCATGAAGAACCTAACCCTATCAAGTGCTGGGGCTCGATATTTGCGGACTCGTCTCCCTTTTGTCCAGCTTTCGAGGCACGTCCTGGGCTCAGGCCTCGTTTGCTTCGGGGGGGACATGATGCAACCTCGTCTGGAAGCAACATGTTTCCTGTTTTCGATTTGTTTTGCATTGCGTGTTTTCGACAAGACTTGCACATGTTTTTTCTTTTCGGAAGGCGCAAGAGTCTTTGCACATGAGGTATCGGTGGGCGTAGTTCAAAATGAGAACCCCCCTCATTGATCATACGTGCTGGCAGAGTGAAAGGCTTCCAAGGACATGCAGATCCGTTCATCGTCAATTGAGAAGAACACCTCATCTACTTATTTACATCATTACCAATAGTCTTACTTACTCGATTCCCAGTTGCCTGGGAAGCGTGGTCAACCCCCTCCAGGCCTCCTGGGCCATTGGGCGTCAGGCCACGGATGGTGAGGGTCTCAGATGGGTCTGTGATGTGCTTTCAGGTTTTGAGCCAGAAGTGCCAGAGGGGACTCACAATGGACTCTGCCTCTCGTTGGTGTTCCATGTTCATGCCTTGGGGCCTTGGGTGCATTCAAGGTATGACTTTTCAAGTACCTTGTGAGCAACTTTACAATTCGTCCTTGGAGAATGAAGACGTGACGATCGCACCATCGAAGCTTTCACTGTGCAGCTGCAAGACGAGGTGAGCACACCTGTATTCCAAATGACCAGGCTGGCGGGAATGAGGTCAAACTCACTCAAACATTCCAGACAGTGCAAAGAAGTTGACTCAAAAAGGAACCCGAAACAGGACTCAGACAAAAGACGGCTCAAAATCACTCAGGTGGAGGTGGCTCGGGCTGGGTGGACATTTGGCAGAAATCCAGAAGCCTCAGTACCTGAAAGGGTACTCAAAAAAAGACTCAAATTCGGACTCGACTAAATACTCAAACCTAAACTCAAAACGACTCAAATCTGGACTCAAGCAGATTCATCCGCTTTGCTCATTGAGTCCGAAATTGAATCTTATCTGAGTCTTTTTTGAGTCCAGAATCTGAGTGCGTCTTTCCTGTGGAGTTTTTGGGTCGCGTCTGAATTGAGTGTTCTTTTGAGCTTTCTGGTTTTGTTATGAAACTTATCTCTCAGAATGTGCTTCCATAAATCTAGGTCAATACTAAGCGAAATCATTCCATATACCCTGACTTTCCTATCATGTATGCAATATGCAGGTATAAATAGCCAAAAACAATATTAATTCCAATAAATCAATCGATATATATATATATATAATATGATTAATTGTATATTCTAACAAATTAATATATAATACCTTTAAAATAATTATATAAATAAATTATAATATACAAATCTATAAATCTCAATATTTTGATTAAATTGGTATAAACGAAAAATAAATATAATATATTAAATAATTATATTTATATGGAATTTAATTAACTATAAATTAAAGGATGTAATATTTTTATATATGATATTTTGGTATTGAAAATAGGCGGGGGTAAAAATGAATGGAAAAGGTATAATAGGAAATGATATATAAATGAAGAATAGAATTATAATATGTAAAATATTATAAATTTATAAATATAAATTACTTTTATTATTTGAATATTATGTAAATTTAACGAACATATTGAAAATTTTTTAAATTTTATATAAAATTTATTTATTTATAGATTAAAATATAATTTATATATATGTAATATATATTATTATTATTGAAAATATATAATAATATATATTAATTTAGTATATAATTAAATATTACTATGTAAATTAGCATTAATTAATTGTATTTTTTTTGTTTTATAAATTTTAGAGGGGATTGGGATGTTCGAAATCGCTATATTACGTGAAATTTTATATGTAGAGGGGAATATAAAAATTTAATATGAAAGGATCTTTTTTTTTTTTTTCCCGCATTTTTGGTATATTTTTTTTGTGGCATTTATTTTGATTTAATGTAATATATTAAAAGATTTATAAGTTAAGGTTGTTTGTAATATTGTTGTTATATGTTTATAATATTTTACCTTATGACGAGGTCGTATAAATTATCTTTTTAATTATTCCATATATATTTTTACAAATAAATTACTTTATTCCGCTTGATATTTTATTAGTTTTTTGTTTCTGGACGACGTTATATGCTTCGCTTCCATTGACACATATATATTCTTCCTAGTTTTCGTTATTTACCCTCGGCCTCAAACAATTATATTTTTATGGAATATTTATTAATTATATATTCGTTATTATTCCTTTTGTTTATCGTTTTATAAATTTATATATGGAATATATGAATAATTTAATCGTTATTATTATTGAATTTTTTTTTTAGGAAAGGAATATTAAATCTTTTTCGTATTATTATTTTTTATTGATGTAATAATGGGAAAATTTATATATAAATCATTAAATAAATGAATAAAAACAATTATATATTAAATAAAAAATATTATATTTTTGATACAAATTTTTGATAATTATGTTTAATTTTAGTTTTGCCTTTTTGGAGTTGTGGGGATAAATGGAGGTATCGTATGGAATGGTGCGTGAGGTGGTGCCTAGATAAAATGGTCGGGATTTGGATTATATTTTGTGATGCGCAAAATGGTATATGGAATGGGGCTAAATGATACGTAAATAAAATATTCCGGGGGTTTATTCACAAAATAAAATGTAATGATAACACAAATATATTATTTATTTATTTAATTTTATGCGAATAAAATTATTATTAAAAGATTAGCAAAATTATGCCCTTATTAATAAAATGATTGGACATAAAAGATTTGTATTATAATTGCGGAGTACAAGATTCCTCCCCTGAGGAA